GAAAAACAAAAACTGCCTTCGCAAGGAGTCCAAGGCGCAAGGAGTCCACGGTGGTAACAACGTTCAGGTCCTGAAATACGCAACATGCTCCCTCCTAAAACCCATCTGGAAGGAGTGCCCTTTTAGGTTGGTTTAAAGGAAGACCAAAGGAAAACCGCCCATTTATGTTTCTCTTTTTTTGGTTGTTTGGGGGGGGAGAGGGCTGGACACATACCCTCCCAGAGCCTTATGCTTGCTTGAAATCTACTTACTCAAAGCCCGGCCCAGCGGTTCATGAAAAATAATTCCATTTGTGGATGGTTATAAATCACTGCCAGGCACCGGTTGGGATGGAGAACAACAACTCCTACCCACCGGCGCAGGATGTTTGGCCGATAAAACAAACGTAGCTACCGTCGATGCCCGGCAACTATGGGAGCAAGAAAACTCTCGTAACATTTACCATGCCTGTTTGGTCGAGTGTGGTTCACTTGGTGGGTCGCTATGACTGAACCTGCGTTTGTCGAAGCAATTGAACCGCGCATGCAAACATGCTTTGTCCCCTTTAACAAGAATGGGAATCGATTAGAATGCTTGACTTCCTTCTGGAGTCCCCTGAAAAAGCCAACTAGAAGGGGTCCGAACCCCAGTTGGGTATGCGTCTTTTTTGGGTGTGACCCCCAAAACGGCTTCGGTATTGCTGTTCCTTCAAGCCAACCCTGAAACAGGGCACCTTGCGCCTCAAAAGCTGATGCATTGGAATTCGTCGAGTCCTGGGAGTAGAACTCCAGAAACGCCGCGTGCTCGAAGACGTCGATGCCGTACTCCGCCTTGATCTCGTCGCTGGCCCTCTGCACCGCCAGGTTCCTTCGACGGCAAAGAACCCAAGGATGGCCACTTCATTTGGGAGGTGATTCACACACTGGCATGTTCAAAAGGTGGCTTGCTTTGTTAGAAGGGAGTTCCCTTGGTAACTGAACGGAATGCGACTTCCAAGCCTCATTTGCAGGGAATGCGCAAGCATCCCTGCGGCCAAACTGCTTTTAACAGGGATTCCCTAGGTATCACAAGACAAACTCTGCTCCCGGATCGGTACTCTCGTTACAAGTGCAGAACCTATGATGTTGGTCCAAAGTGTCTTTTCAAGCAACCTATTGGAAACCTTGTTTAGGGGTTCCGGTACTTCAACACACTGCCATATTTATGATAGTCTTCAGCGCACCCTCCCACCTCAACTCCGACTGAGTTGATTTGCCGATTTTGGGGATCCCGAAAGTCACTTCCGCAAAACAGCACTCCACTTCAAGGAAAAGCTCTCACCTCAAGTTCGCGTGTTTGATGCTAAGAACCACCCTTGAATTGGGCAGCTGCCAGATCCCCTGCAGAAGGGTTTAACTTTGTGTTGCTTCGGGGAAACTACCACTAAAGCGTAAACGCTGAAAACCTGCTGGGAACCACCAAGTTAAGGGGGATTGTGAGTTTTCTGTCGAGGGTACTCTTTCAAAGGCAAAACACTAAAGGCTCTGTTAGGCTCTGTTAACTAAACAACCCTTTGCGGGTTGCCCAGGTGGGCCGGCCCATAGGCGAAGGCCCCCTAGGATGAAAAACCCGCCGCTTGCGCCAACACCATTTTTGGGAGGGTCCAAATCCCATTTCAAGACGCACCAAACATCGCTGGAGCCCCGAACATGCGTTCAATCGAAGGCCAAAAGTTTACGCTGCTCAACACCTCCGCAAAACGGGAGACACCTCAGGAGCCCAGAGTTGCTCTCCTTCCCTTTCAATCCTGAAAACCTCCAACATGAAACACCTCCAACCCAGCCACCCAGAGTGCTCAGCCAAGGCGCTTCTCCCAGTTCTCCCGCACCACCGGCGGCATGTCCAGCACCCCAGGGCCCGTGATGGTCACCGTGGCCACCGAGGGGATCTGCAGATACCGCGCCGCCACGTAGCCCTTCGGTCGAGAGAGACGCGGCCACGGCTGGCTTGCATTGTTTTCAGGGAAAGACAGAGGCGCTGCTTGGGGTGGTTTTTAAAACCAGAGGTGGGCTTAAAGGTTGGTTTGGAAAGGTTTCTTAAAACAAAACAAACAAAAGACACACACAAAACGACAACACCAATATGGATTTGGGGGTCAGGGGAATACTCCCACAAATCCCGCTATACAACAGAGTATCTCAACTTATCACTTGTACACCACTTGCACAAGGGGGGCCATGCGGAGATCCGCCCAGAGGTCTGAGTCTTCGAGACAACTGGAAACACGGGTTGCCGCCCTCCAGGAATCAAAGGTCAAAGGGTGCCTCTTGTTTGAGTCAGTACTCTTTTTCTATGATCTTTGCGGGATACCACAAGGAAAACCTAGGGGGGGAGGCCTATAAAAGACACACCACCCAAATGGATTCCACTGACAAAATGCTAATTGAACGAAGCTGCTGGCTGCCCTCTATTTTCAATAGAATGTATGTCACCCTAGGACTACCGGAAAGTGGGATGCTAGGTGACACGCCTGCATCACCGGCAAACACAAGAAGAGCTCCTTGTGAAACTCGGCATTCCAATTTGCCCAGATCAATGCGTTCAAAGCATGTCTTGTGGAATGCATCGCGAGACATTATTTTCCGAATTGTGTGCTTTTTTTAAGGCTACCCTTTCTCGAGTTTGGGAATTCAAGAGGAGACTCGTTTTGGGAGCTTGACCCCTAAAGTTGCAGCAAGTGGTTTGGAAAGCTGGCTCCCCTGTAAAACTTGAAAGACTGCCTTTCTTGGAAACCCAATCAAACCTTTGAGTCTTTTTCAAGATCCTCGAAAATCCTTCCCACATTGCCAAATACAAATTCCCTGACAAGAAGCAGCTTCAAACCCATGGAAAATCCCACTTTCTGTGATACCAAGTAGGCACTGCCCATAACTACTGTATCACTGGAAGAGGGTCCCTATCACAGAAATTGGACCCAAATCCCAAGTGTTCCACATGTGTCTCTTTCTAGCTACGTACCCTTATTGGATGGTCTCCAAAAGAAACAAAAGGAAAGCAAAAGGAAACCAGCAAAACATGCGGGGGACCCCCCTATATCCTATTTTGACACCCATGAGCCGAGTCCAGTTCCAGGCACCAGAGGCAAGAAGGGATCGTAGACGATGACGCTGGGCGGCGGCTCCAGCGCTTGCAAGGCCTCGATCATGGCCGGCATGGCGGACCTCGAGAGAAAAATCCACGGCTCACGCGGACGTTTTGTGGCGCTTTTGCGAGGGTCTGGTGGACAAAGTCCACAAAACGATGGGCACTTGGGATAGAAACCCGATTTGAATCATGGCTGAAATTTCAGGTGCGCCATGGATTTGGTCCCCTCAACCTGGTCCCCTCATCACAACCTAAAACCACCTAATTAAACCCACCCTAAATCCACCCTAACGTCAGAAGCCCGGATTAAAATCACTTCCAAGCCTGAAAAGCAAGGAACACTGCGGGCTCGTGTTGCTTAGAATTGATGCCGCGCCTCTTGCGGGTTGTTTTGGGGGACAAAACCAGGGATATCTAACTGCCGCTTCAACGTGCTTTTTCGCGCCCTCCTTGTACTTCCGGCTGGGAAGATAGATGGGGTAAGAAACAAAAACGTGGAATCAACCTTTAGAACTTTTCTGCACTTGGGGAAAAATGGGGCTCCAGAGCTTCGGATGAAACGGCTTGGACTTGGTTCCCTTTGTTCTCCTGAAATATTACCGAAAGTTCACTTTAAATTGCCCCGAGTGATGTCTAGAATCATAGGGAAAAATGAAAGAAAAAAAACGTGCGAGCTGTTCCAAATAGATTGCCGCCCCAACTGTGAGTTGCGCCTGAATCACTGACTCTTTGCAAACTCCAAGTGGGGAGCAAGCAAAAGCTTGCAATCGCGTGGCTTTTGGCCGGTTTGCTTGAAATGTTTGGGCCAACTCTTACCTCCCATCCTCAAAAAGAGGCGCCCAAAAAACGGATCACTTCCCCACAATGTCGCTCTGAACCAAGGAGGCAACGTCACCTTTGGGAGGGCTGGAAGATCTGTTCTCTCAAGGGACCCTGTCAGCTGCCAAGTTGATCCCTGGAAAAGGCGAAGAATAAGGGTTCTCGCATTCTGAGCCCTCGCTTTCATAAGGATCCAGCGGGGCAAACCGGCTTTTGGGTGCTGCTCAGAGAGTCCTTTGACACATGGGATGACCATTGGTTGGAAAACTACAAAACAGATGAGAGACCCCGCTGAATGGGAAGAAGTTACCCATGGTCACTTGGGGACCATGAACATTGATCAACCCCCATGTAGAAAATCCACCGAAGCTCGTCCCCCAGCTTTGGACCCTCCACTCCCAAAGTAGGAATGTGGAACGACAGGACCGTCCTGAGAAAGCAATGGTCTCATGTCGTCTTGCTGTGAAAGCAAGAGTAACTCATGAGAATTGAGTGGCACAGAAAGGTTTTGGGAAGGGCCGCCGTGCGAATCCACATTGGAAAGACTGGCTCCGTTTTATCATGTTCAAAGTCAACCATGTAGGAGGGTCCAAGGGTGATCCTTCCATACTGCGGATTCAAACCCCAAATCAGACATGGGAAAGATAGCGGGTCCCGGTTGTCCCCTTGCCATCAGGAATCAACTGGGTGAAACTGGAACGCGGTTTCTGGAAATTGGACTCCAGCCCCTGGATTCCAATGAGCTCTAGGTCTTAGTCATGGCTGGACATGTGACATCAAAGCGGGCGATCCGAATGACCTCATCGCTTTGAACGGGAAGTTCCCCCCCCCCTCTTTAAAGAACAGCGGGGTAATGAAGGACATGTCTTGGCCATTGAGACAGGTTAGATCCTTTGCAAATGGACGCTGAATCCTCTAACTAGACCCACGATCACCCGCACCCCCTCGTGCATGGTGGTGGATTCGCTAAATATGATGTTTGCACATCAACCAACCACGACCCACGCAAAAACTTGACAAGTTGTGGTCAACTAGAGGATTCCGTTGTTCCCCCAATACAATATCTGAGAGTATGTCTGTTTAATAGTTCGAGGCTCACTTTTGAGCCCCACACTCCTAGTTTGACATTTGCTTGCTTGTTTGCTGAGGGTATCCTGCTCACCGTTTGTTTTTTAAGGAAACCCGATTTTGCCGGAGTCCCAAATTTTGACGAGCCATACCCATTTTGAACATCCACAGCTCGAAGGATCGATCCCCTCTCTGCGACTCTGCGAGCGGCGCAGCGTGAATCATCAGGTTGCAGGGGAACTCCGTGCCCTCCGGTCGCGCCTCCAAAGATCGCGTTTGGCATCTCTACTCTATTCATCTATGTCTTCTTCTGGACTTGCATACATGTGTGTGTATACATATGTGTACATATCATAGAAAGAGAGAGAGAGAGAGGAGAGACAAATTCTATACAAATGCAAATGATAGATAGATGGATGCATGTATGGATTGACAATTGATAGACAGATAAATATTTAGGTAGGTAGGTACATAGATAGACGAAGAGATAGAAAGATAAAAATATAGATAGATAGATAGATAGATACATAGATAGATAGATAGATAGATAGATAGATAGATAGACTAGATTAGATTAGATTAGATTAGATAAGATTAGATTAGATTAGATTGATAGATAGATAGATAGATAGATTAGATAGATAGATTAGATTAGATTAGATTAGATTAGATTAGATTAGATTAGATTAGATTAGATTAGATTAGATTAGATTAGATTAGATTGATTGATAGATAGATAGATAGATAGATAGATAGATAGATAGATCTTTCCATGGAGAGAACCGTGCCATGTACTTTCACCCAATTAGTTTCTTGAATCTGCATGCTTTTCTGAACCAGTCGTGAACCAGTCGTGATCTGGGAAAGTGTGGCTGCGGTGATTGCTGGTGTGACATGTTGGAACTTGGGATGACCGGGAGTGGGGGAGGTGTTCTTGGGTAACGTCATCTTCGGAGTCGAAGGGAGGCCCAGACTAAGGGGTGGAAGCCCAGGCTTGGCCGGGGCCTAACCACTAGATCTGGTCCTCTGAGAGTCCTCCGGATTCATTCGAGGTGAGCAATAAATCAAGCCATCGTTGGAATCCACTCACCCGGCTTGGCATATGCAGCGGCGGGGAGTCGTTTGAATTTGTGTGCAGGGCATCTAAGCGACTGCTCCGAGTGCAGGTCTCCCGAAGGACGCTTCCTGCCTTAGGAGCTAATCGGTCCCGGCAGATCCAAAAAGCAACATTAGGAAATACGTAAGCTGGCAACAACCAGGTCAGCAAAAACAACCATGGAATCGAACCCTTCTCGAACAAAGTGTCCTCTTACAAGGACCTTTTTTGACAATCCAATGTGGGAGGGGTGTACCCAAGCGCGCCGTCCGCCGTCAGAGAAACCCTGTGCAGCATGTGATCCGTGCCCTGAAACTTTAAAAGGACCTGGGGTGTGATAGGCACGGAGGGAGTCTATTGCCTAAGCTCGTGCTTCCCTGAAAGGACGCCCAAATGCCCTCCAGCAACAAGAAGCTGTGGGGACAACCAATAGGAAATGGTTGCAAATCTCTGAGACGTCGACTCGCTTGGGGCTTACTTTGCCTTTTCCCCGCCTCTGGTGGCACATACTTGGCGAGTTGCTCCTCGCTGAGTTCCTTCGCATCCTCGCGAGTCGGGCGCCGCGCGAGGCTTCCCAATCGGCGCCCTATGACAAAAAGTCACCGCTTCCCAGAAGGTCCAAAGGGCAACCAAGGAACACTGGAATTGGTTGAACAAACCAATGTCCTACAACCCTGAACAGGAATTCAAAGCTGCCTTGTCAGAGAATCTTGCAGACTTCCTGACTCTCACGTTTCATTACGTGAGAGTCATTGGTTGAAACTCTTAGTGACGTTATTAAAATCCTCACAATAGTTGTCTTCGTCCCCAACGACCATCTCTGGTCAGGGGGGTCCCAGGTGAGTCGGGCAGTGGGCACGCATAAGGCCTTAATTAGGCGTTTTCAGGAGCAAACCAAAGGGCCCGTTGGCCGGCTGAGCTACCAACATGTCATTATTCTTTTAAAAAAGGGAGTCACAAAATGGTCCGAACCAAAGCCCCTTGTTCAAGCTTGCTGTTAAACAACCTCAATCCCTTTGGTCTCCCTTCCAACTGGTTCTTGGAATATTTTTTGAGCCTAACCCTGGTCCAAACAAAGGAACCCTTACCCATTTCCTGAAAGGGGAACCCTTAATTTGGTTTGAGTATATCTTGGGGAACTCAAAAAATGACATCCCTTTTCAACATCTTCTACATCAGCAACTGGAGCATCGTGGCGGGGGGTGGGGGGCGCCATCCGTCCTGCATGTACCGCCACTGCGCGCCGTTCGCCTCCACGACCTGGCGACCACTTCGCGAGAGATGCCCGCAGTTCACCGGGCGGAAGTGACGTTTGTCGTTGAACCTGCAGAGTTTACCTTGCGGGTTAGTGGGTAACACACATCTTCCGAGGTTAAAAGAAAACTGATCCACAGCCAAAAATCCAAAAATAGAATCTCACTGGTGGTTCGAAGGGTCCTCGAGGCCTGGCTACGATCCCTTGAAGTGGTTGCCGCCGGCATTTTGAGGGCTTCTCAAAATCCCTTGTGGGCCCTTCCAACCACCAACAGGGCTGCCTTCTGAGGATGTCACTTGAACTAACCCAAAGGAAAAGCTCCTTTTGTGACGGAAGCCTTCCGTTGATTTGTCGTGTGGTTTCTCATAATTACCATGATCAAAACTCCCAAATATTGGGAGTCACATGTTCAAAGAGACCCTTTACATTGGTTGTAAGCGGCGTTTTAACCATGGCTCATCTGAAGGGGAGGTTGCGAAGGTTCTCGCAACCAGGGGTTGTCGTGTGGTTGGTATTTGTTCTGCAACGAAAAGGCCAGGAAGACTGCCAAGATCAGTTGCTCAAAAAGGGTAAACGAAATGGTGGAGTGTGGCTGCTCCTTCCAGCTCTTGCTGACAACAGAGATCGCTGTGAGAATTGATCTGGAGAATCTGTGATGTCCAAAGCTGACATGAGCTTGTGGCAATCAAACCCTCCAAAGGCAGACTGCAAGCGCAATGAAGCAGCGCTTGCTATCGGGATGGTACATCGTGGGCTTGGACAATTCGAATCATATCCACTCATTGCTTCCAGCCCGAACTTGGGAATTGAGGGAGCTTCATCATGGGTGAGCTCGTTCTTTCAAGAGAGCTCGCCATACTTCATGCAAACCCATCACTTTGTGGCGTCCTTTAAGGAAAAACGGCACATCGTTTAGCACTCATACTTCACCGACGAGTACAAACTGTCAAACGGTCAAACATATGGTACCCCTAGGACTGCTCAAAGGCGGCACCAAACTCCCAGGTTTCTGACCATTTTCTAAAAATAAGGATGTGCCTAGGACTTAACAACTTTAGAGTTTCTTGGCAGGCGCAGTGCACTGGCAACAAAGGCTCCTTTTGGCTTCCCTTTGAAGAGTAATTACCAGGGCCTGGTTCTTTCCACTCCGAACCTCAATGCCAACTCATTCAGCTTTGCAAGGCTCCAATGGGAGTCCTTCCAACGATTCCACGCATTGGGCTTTCCAACTGTGGCCAGATCCAGGCATCTGGATTAACTTTGAACCCACTCCAATTTCCCTTTGATTTTGCTTTCAAATACCCCAGAACATGGTTTCCCCTCCGACACGGCAAGCGTCCGCCCAAAACCCGTCCTCGCGCATCTGCTCCGCCACGAAATAAGTGACCGGCACCTGGCGGCACGACGTAGCTTCAGTGTCATGGTGCAATTTGTTTGGTGAATTCGAGTCCGGAACTCTTTAGAACCGTCCAGAATCCCTCAAACCAGGGTCCCCCACTCCCCCATGTTCTTCCCTTTTCTTGGCACCAGCCATAATCGGAAGCGTAAAGGTTCGGGTGCAACTTGCAACCATAGAAGCTTTTTGGATTCGATTACATACCCTTCAGCTGAAGCTCAGGTCGTGTTGGAGGGGCAGTATGTATCAACGAAATACCGCGTGGATGCCGCCCTTGGACAGGAAACCAGCAAATGCATGATGTTTCCAACAAACAGCAGCAATTTCAACATTGTCTAAAAGAACGAAATATTTTTTGGATTTGTCCAGACTTCCTCCCGCTCAACGAAAAACAAAACGCGCCCTGAGCTCGCGCCCAAAAGCGAAACCTATCGTGGCACCTTCTTGTCCCTGAGCTCACGCACCAAGACCAAGGTCGGGTTCATGTGCCCGGTGGCCGGGAAGTTCATGAAGACAACGTGCCTAGCCAGAATTTGGGAGCCAAATAGGAACCCAAAACAAAAATCGAACTCCGCATTCCTTGTGGCTTCCCTTTAGGGGACCCGTAAAGAAACACACACACACACACAAATGGAGGGGCCCGTGAAGAAGAACACACACACACACACTCTGTGTTTGTGACTCTGTTTGCAGGATAAATTTATTGCGCTGACTACACAATTTAAGGGGTCCCACTTTTGGCACGCACCAATATTTATCCCTTAGACATCACCCCATGAGGAAACTCATCCAAAAGTGGGCAGCCAAAAGGGGCGTGCAACCCGACTACTGTAATCAAATCACACCTCCAAAATCACTGGGTTTTGTCTCACATAAGCCGAGCAACCCTTTTAGCCATCACTTGTGTTCTCCAACCGAAACCTGATGGAATTCGGAAACTTCTGCCCACTTGTAAAAAACCGGCTAGTGGGAATGTCGGTCTCAACCCCAAAAAACGGCCTGAATCACCCCTGGTGGTTGCGGCCAATGTCCGTCACTTCTCGCACAAATGAACATGAAAATGGTTTCGATGGTGGCATGTTTTAAAGTGAACGGCCTCCCTTTAGTAGCCAGTTTGCGTTTCACCGCTCTGTGGCATAAAGCCATCCCAGGAACCGTTTTCTCCCCACCGCCCAAGTCCAGTCCGAGGCACTGAGGGCGCTCCGACATGGCGACTGAGAAAGCTAAGCGGCGGTTTGTTTTGCTTTTGGAGCTGCGCGCGGCTGCAAAGCAGGCGGCGAAAGACTTCGCCGAGTCGCAAGGTTTTGGGTTTCAAGCTGACCGCAAACTTGAAGGGTTGGAAGATTCAAAAATGTTGGGCTTTGGGCAACACAATATCGTAGTGACTTTTTAAGCCAAACGACTAGACCAAGAGCAGCCAAGAATCCGGATGCCTCAGATTGGTTAATAGTTGTTCAAAAGGTTTTGATCTTTTGGCCAAACAAACACTTTGTTAAGGCATGTTGCACTGCTCCTAGCTTGAACCCAAACAAGACCACCCAAAAGAACAAAGCAAGTCCGAAGCGGCCGCAGTTCTTTTTACCGGGATTGCTGAAAGCAGCACTGCTTCCAGGGCACGGGTGCGCCTGGAGCAGGAGGTGCGTTGACCCCCCGTGAAACTCTAAGGCAAGACAATGCGTGTCCTTGCAAATGCATGCAGTGCGTGCATGGCGTGGCATGCGTGCCCACGCCCAACCAGCAGACCGGGGTCTGTGGTCAGGAAAGGGCCAGCTGCGGCTCTGCCCAAACCTGCATGATCCGGAGACCATGTAGTCCGGAGACCATGAGCGGTCCCGGAGACCTAGTGGTCCGGAGACCGTGAGTGGTCCGGAGACCCTGCCTTTCCAAAATTTTGGAGCCCGCTGCGATCCACAGGTTGGGAAGGCTATGGCTTGTTTTGAGATCCTTGTTCAAGGATGCTCTGAAGGCTGACCACATTTGAGGTGGTATTGAGTGCATTGAGCCTGGCGGGCTGTTGAGATCCGAGGATAGCGGTGTTAGTTACGATCTCAGATGCAGTGCAATGCTGGTGGCCAAAATGAGCAGGCCTATGCACTGCTCGAGTGTTTTTCGGAGTACCCGTTTGCTCCCCAGCAGTGCTTTGATCAAGGCGTCCAGCTTCGTCAGTTTAGCGGACACGAGCTGAATGGTGTCGTGGGAGAAGTTGATCTCCCAGCCACACCAAATAAGGCTGTCCTGGAACTGCGCCTTTTTCCACGAAATTGGCGCAGCAATGGCGCAGAAGAACAGCACCACTAAGGCGAACATTTCTGGAGCGCTGTCTCGGACGAGTGCGCACAGAAGGTCGTCTACAAAAAGGAAGGCTTTGTGAGGCTTCCAAGCCAATATCCCGTGCACTTGGCGAAGTAGAAATGCTCCAGTGCGCTGCCACCAGAATGCCGAGAAACGGCCTCCAAAGTGGCAAACTCTATAGCCATGCTCTTCAGGGCGGACCTGCACCTGTTTGTGCGCGGCTTTGAAGTCAACGCTTGCACCCACGAAGGCTCCTACAGCGTCCTCCGGTTGTGTGGGCAGCGCCAGGTCCGATGCCATTGGCAGGCTGAGGCGCTTTGGCAGATGGCATCTTGTGTTCACTTGGCACACGGTGCTGTCCAGGACAAGGCGGGGCTCTTTCCCTTCTGCAAAAACTACATTTAATTTGCCTACGGCTATACCTAAAGGCCATTTTTCACGAGCCTCGGCAATGCTAAGACCGGTTTCTACAATCCAGTTGTTGGCAATTTCATTGCGCAGCAGGCTTTGCACAGTCTCTGGTTCGTCCTCGGCCATCTTCCAGTTGCCTTCACAGATCTCCAGATCTGGCGGCACGGCGGTGTCCGGCTTTTTGGCCGGCCATTGTAGGCTGGGCGGCAAGGCTGAGACAGCTCCCGTCGGTACCCCGTGTTGCAAAAATGGCAGCAGGGCCATGTCTGGGTCACCCCAAGAGCTGGCCAAAGCCTGCAGCAGATGGAGTCTGTACGGCTGTCCTGCCTCAGGGCTCATGTCTTGAGGGCAGGACAATTGCAGAGCCGTGTAAGCCATATTTGCCACTTCGAGAGAGGGCAGTCCGGAGAGCCATTCCTGACATGCGCCACGATTTGCGGCACCAACTTGCGCTCATGCATCCAATGCAACCAGGGCCTGGCCACTGCGTGCAGTGGGTGTTCTGGCTCATTAGTTTGCGGACGAGTGCATTCCTGCTCCGTCGCAGGTCGGAAGCCTGCAAGGCGCTAATGCGATGGTCCTGGAGTGCAATGGCAGTGCTTGTCGGAAGGAACCCGTTTTGCTGACCCTTCCTATGCCTACCTGGGCAAGTTGCAAGGCCAGGGAAGGTGGGTATTCCGCGGTCAGAGTGCTGAGGTATACCCCTTGCTCTTTCACGCCTGCAATGCTTTGATGCTTGTAGGAGTGATTGCAACGGGCTTCCAGGGCCTGGATTTTTGAGCTGTTGCAGCCGAAGGCCCATGATTTGGCGAAGGCTTTATTTTATTTCAGGTTCGGCATCCTTACATGGGAAGGAATGCAGCACACATTCTCTTCCCACAAACCCACGTTACAACCGTCACTTGTCGCACCCTCCTAAAGGAAGGTCTCAAAGCGGGGGGGGGTATGGGAACACCATCCCGGTTTGAGCCAAAGTCAAACGTCATTTAAACGGCTCGAGCCAAACTCAAATGTCATTTTGAAAATGGCCAGCACGGCCAAAAAGGAATTACGGACAAACGCATTTAAGCGGTCAGCAAACGGGCGATGCCCATCACAGGCATCACATGTCTGAATGGATCAAACAGCTCGACGACTCAAACGGCAAACCACTCGGCCCTTTTCCAACGCTGATGCAGTGGGGAGTCACGGTGCGTCCCCGCACGTTAGTTGAAAGGGCTTTTGTCATTCCACACCAAAAAGAGGAAAGACAAAACCCAAGCTCATGCTTGGTCCATGTGGCTCATGCCACGTGGCTCATGCCACTTGCCCCTTCTTCTAGGGTGGGTTGGGTGGGACGAAAACAAAATGTGACACTGCTCTTTTGGCAAGTGTCTTTCCCACCGCCCTCCCAGCCACATGGCTGCTATTCGGAAATTCACATCAATTTCGTTCAAGCATGCCATGCGCACGGTTGACAAGAAATAAGTGTCCGTTCACTCATGTGCCTACAAAACGGACCACTTGCTGGTATCAACCGAAACAACCAAAGGAGGAAACACCTCAACGTGGGAAACATGGGATGCGAACAGCAAATAAAACGTCATCTTCCTACGGAAGAGTCCTAGCTTATTTCAGGTTCGGCATCCTTACGTGGGAAGGAATGCAGCACACATTCTCTTCCCACAAACCCACGTTACAACCGTCACTTGTCGCACCCTCCTAAAGGAAGGTCTCAAAGCGGGGGGGGGTATGGGAACACCATCCCGGTTTGAGCCAAAGTCAAACGTCATTTAAACGGCTCGAGCCAAACTCAAATGTCATTTTGAAAATGGCCAGCACGGCCAAAAAGGAATTACGGACAAACGCATTTAAGCGGTCAGCAAACGGGCAACAGGCATCACATGTCTGAATGGATCAAACAGCTCGACGACTCAAACGGCAAACCACTCGGCCCTTTTCCAACGCTGATGCAGTGGGGAATCACGGTGCGTCCCCGCACGTTAGTTGAAAGGGCTTTTGTCATTCCACACCAAAAAGAGGAAAGACAAAACCCAAGCTCATGCTTGGTCCATGTGGCTCATGCCACGTGGCTCATGCCACTTGCCCCTTCTTCTCCCCCCTGCAAAATTGGCATAGTGGCTTCCGAAATGAGATTACTGATGTCCAGGTGCATTCTCTCACCAAGGCCCTTGAGGTCGTCGTCGCCCCGGGACGGCTTGTCAGCTATGTTCGAAGCGGTGTTCACCCTTTCGAACCAGCACACCACGTTCCCTGCGTCCAACATTGCCAACGTGTTGTCGACCAGTCTCTGCCCCAATGGGTTAACTGATTTCCCAGATATCATCGAAGCAAGGGACCCATTGTTGTCAGTGAACACGATGACATGGCAGGACTCAAGAGTTGGAATCCAAAGTTTCAAACCGCAAAACATGGCAAAACACTCAAGCTCGTAGATTGGGTTCTTGCTTCCCTCACGCGCAAGTGCCATCGCTTGCTTGAGTTCCATCTGCTCGCTGAAAACTGACACTGGTCCGAAGTCTGGCAGGATCAAAACACCTCCGATTCCACCAGGCATGTCACTTCCACCTTCGAAGCTTGCATCCACATAAATGTGCCAAGTTTGATGAACACGTGTCGTGATTCGCTTGGGCTTATTTCCGCAAAGGCCCATCTTCAATCCTTTCAGCGCTTGCCCAAGACTCGCATCGACTGTCTTCTTCCCACTCATTATGTGCTCCGAGAGGACTCGCAGATGCAGCCGTCCTGAATGGCCGAAGATCTGATTTTCCGCGAAGATTAGCCTTCCGCGAAGACTCGCACCATCTCCCGCTGACAGAACCCCCGTCACCAAGACAGTGTCAATGGCTCCGGTGGCCGGGTCCCTGTAACTGTACTACACAACGAAACTCAGGCACAAGTGGAGGGACCTTCCGGCCGCGAGGTTGCAGCCCGAGCGCTACTCTGGCACTGATATGCGGGTTGCTTTCGGACATTTCTGCAACGCATGAAACCGGCTTGACTGCCCCAAACTCTACAAGTTGTCTGCAAATCAAGCTCGCCCACACTTGGCACAGAGGGATGGGGTACGCGGTTTCCTCAGATGTGGCCCATTTGTTGCCGCTGCGTCCCCACGGCAAATGAACATGCGTCTGGCTTTCTCCTGGACAAGTGAGACTTAAATTGCACAATTCAGGCACACTGTGATGCAACTGGGTCAGTTTGGCTCTCTGACCGCCGTAGCAACAATGGTGGAAAAAAGTGCGCCACAAGGGCAACTTGTCAATGCACTTACGATAGTGGCTGGTCAACCACATGAATGATCTGCCGGGATTTTCGACACTGGTCATGATTCCTAAGGAATACGCCTTGGCGACCCAAGCACTGGTTTTGCTATACAACAAATTGGCGGCTTTAACGCGGGCCAAAAGGGTCCCTTCCAAGGTTTGGACCCCATCGGGGAACGCTTCACTCCTGGTAACAGGAGGGTTGTATCGGCCCTTGCGTTGAATGCAACGTGCCCTTGAGGCAGTCCCACATGGAGGCGCAAAATGTATGTAAACCACATTTGGATTCACAAAG